CGGGGGGGGGGGGGGGGGGGGGGGGGGGGCGGGCTGCGAATCGTTCCTGCCATGGGTTGGGATCTATGGTTGCTTCGAATCCTTCGCGGAGAATCCGAACGAACACGAGTTTTTGCAGGTTCTTTGGAACCGGGCGAGTCCGTTCGTTTTTTCTTTTCGGGACGAAAGGGGTGCTTGGCTTTTGTTCTCTCGGTTCTTCCTGGTTTCCCGCTACATACTCTCGTGCTCGCGGAAACAGATTATCCAATTACGATTAATTAACGTTCTGTATGCGCGTGCGCTCGCACAGCAGCGGCTGAGGCGTGCCAAAAGCCGTTGGCTCCGGATCGCGATCGCGAACGATCCTGCAGCAGTTGTTCCACTCTAATTAACGATGCAACACCGCGGCTCGCACCGCGGATTGCACCGCGGCTCGCATCGCGGTGCGGCTCGGTTCCCGAGTTCCCGATTGGATGACGAGGGGAATTGGGTGGTTGGGGGTGAAGGGGGGAGGTATAAAACCAAGAGAGAGGTGGCGTATCGTACAGCGCGGCGTTTCATCGGTCAGCCGATAAATCAACGCTTCCTCGTTACGGTGTCTCGGATAATTGAACGTCCGACGCGGTTTGATGAAAACGCGCGGCCGGAGAACGACGAGGAGGAAGCGCTTCTCGGAGCGAGACGAGGCGAGGCAAGGCGAAGCGAGCACGAGAGTCGCGTGCTCGATCCGTGCTCCGTTTAACGTTCGAAAAGACGCTTCGCCTCTGGTTCGCGACGAATGGAGAAGCATCGACGTCGGTTGTCGTAGGACACGGTTCTCGGACAGGATGGGTGTGTCTGCTGCAAATATATTGGATGACGTACGCCGACACCTCCGCCGCGCGTTCTTTGGCATCGGCGCCGACGCTCGCGTTAACGAGACCATCAACCTGTTTTACGAGCGCTGGAACGCATCTTCGATTGCCTCGACCCTCGCATGTCTCTCTCGAAACTATCGATGGTATCGTTGCGGTTGTAGTTGCAGTTGCAGTTGCAGTGCAGCGTCTCGAACCGAGACGAACCGAGACGAACCGAGAGTCGTAACGTAGAGAAGCTGGTTCACGATCTCCGATGCCGAGACACGACTTTTTCAGAGGAGCACGGCGTCACGAGAGACCGTAGAACGGCGCGATCGTTGGATCGCGTATCTCCGTGTATTCAGACTCGGACGATAAGCGGTGAAACGGCGACTTTAACGAACAACGATGACGTTCCCCGTCCGATCGCTGCCCGTTTCCCGTTCGTTCGCCGGCTAATCAAACTCGGGAGTCAGGGCCTGCGAGTCGTCGAGACCGTGATTTACCGGTACAGTTGCGCGATTCGACGGCGATCCTACAGGTCTTTATCCCGGACGAGCCGAATCCGAGACCGATTCTGAGGCTGACGAAAAAAAGCGGTTCGCCGCCAGTACCGTCCGCGATAGGAAGGTCCTGGCACAGAACGGAATCCGGTAAGGATAAAATAAGAAAGAAGGCTGGTACCGGGTTGCGCGACGTCCCCTTCGGTCTCGACGCGGTCTTGTCACGGTATCCTGAGGTCGTCCGATCCATGGGATCGCGACCGATCCCCGGCTGGCACGCGACGAAACCGAACGCCGAATCCGAAGCAGTAATTTCTGGGTCAGCAGATTTATCGCGTTGTTCGATTTGTCCTCCCCCACCTCCCACCCCACGCCCGCCATCCCCCTAAAATCTATTCTCGTCGCGAAGCTCTTAACCGGATCTCGCGGATGTTCGTGAAATCGACGATCGGCCGGATAGACCGGCTCGTCGATCCCGAATCCGCTATCTCTCGATCTTATTTACGCGGAGGAAGAAAAGCTGCGAGCTGCCGACTGCCGGCTGCTGGCTGCGATCGAGACGATCGTATCGCGATCCATTACTCCGGTTCCACGCACAATTCGCGTTCGAGTCGGCTCCCTCGAACCCGTCCATTAATCTCGACATCCTCTCTTATCGATATACAAGCTCTGGCCCACTTCGCGGATACGCCGCGAATCGTGTTCCCGGTATTATTCGAGCTCTCCCGATGCTCCGAGAAACTTCTCTCGACCGTTCACGCCTGCCGGAAACAGGATCGAGAGGAAAAATCGGAGAGAACGATCTATACCGGACCCGATAATCCGCCTCCTTTCACGATCCGCGAATACTGCTAGATACAAATCCTCGAAATATGTACACATATTCCTCGCATCGACGAGCGTCGCCGAATCGATTCGTTGCCCGAGATGCTTAGATGCGGCTTTCGGGGCCGCGAGAAAACTTTTGCCAACCTTGGATATTCGCTGAAATGCTCGAATCGGTCATTCCAAATATCGTACCTCGAGAAAGAACAGAGATTTGGAAGGATCTGGGCACGATACGATAACGATCCGTCGATTCGATGCGACGCAACGGTTTCGAAGGAAAGCGAGATTGTGGGAGTGCGGATGCCTCGATCCAGATTAGAGTAGCTAGAATCCGATCTTCGGATCCGCGCGAATGGATCGTTTTTCGCTGGAGGCAGAAGCAGGAGGCAGAAGCAGAAGGCAGAGGCAGAGGCAGGCAATGGGTAGTCACGGTCGAGTACTCTGGTCCTAGCTGCTGACGCAGCTCCGTGTGAGGTCCAGAAAGGAGGATACGTCGATAACAAGGAGCGGCATTGTGCCCATTTCTGATACAGCGGGGCCAATCTTTTATCGCGTTTCGGACAATGGTCATTGTTCCGCGCGGGTTTAATTACCGCGGCGCAGCGCGGCGTGGCGCAGCGGTGCCGGCGCTCGGGCTAATACTTCCTCGATTTCACGTTCGGCTAAATATTTGACGTCGGCGAGGCTCGTTGAAACTCGAAACGATCCCAATTCCGATTCCGATTCCGATTTCGATTTCGATTCCGATACCGATCCAGATTGCAGGGAACTTAATCGATGGTATCGGTACTATATCCATTACCGGTAACGATGGCCTCCGAATTGGCTCGATTCCACGTGGGCGACCATTAGAATCGATTAGGCCGAGGATCGAGAACGGAAAAGTCGTTTAGCCGGGCACGATCGATCACTCGCCGCGTCGTTTCATCGACGGGAGTCGTGGATCGCTTCCTGCCCGACTGAAACCTACACCCCCGCGTTCGCAGCTCGGCTTCCAATTAGGCCCGTCGTCGATTTTCCAACCGCCGTGCCGTGCCGCACCGGTTCAGAAAGTTCCATTGCCCGTTCGACGATCGCCAGAACGATCCGGAAAACAGGCTTCTATCCTCCGCGTTGTCTAGATCTCGAGGGTTCCGATAATCGGCGGCGCGTTGGCGTGCCCGCCAGCGGATGGGAGGAAGCTCCAGGTGGATCTCGGGCGTGGAACTTACGAGTGGGTTTCGGTTTCCACGCGGACGGGTATCGGATGAAGGGAACCGGAGAATAAATTATCTGCGCAGCCGCTAACGGAGGAAAGCACCTCCGTGAACCGCGCCGCGGTTTCTCCGTTTTCTCTGAAACCGAACGAACTCGGACGCACCGAGATCGAATTCCACGGCAATCTCGTCGAGGCACTTTGCTGCGAGACTTTTTACCATATTGATCCCCCCCCCCCTCTCTCTCTCATTTTGAAACCCTTTCATCGTCAGCTAGAATAAATCCCAAACCGACGGACTTGCAACGGGCTTTTCGTTTCGAATGAACTGGAACAGGCATCTATATATATAGAACCCACGATGTCTGTCACGAATCTGATCCAATAAAACGTTTGTTCGTTTCGCGATCGTAGATCGGCGAATTCAGCGTTCGAGCAGTGACGGATGGATGCGTAGACGGTGGATCGTGAATGAACGGAGGCTCGCGGCACGCTAGATCGGAAGCTCGATGCAAATACGAGGGCGAGTTGTTTCGATCAGGAATGGATCGAATCTCGTTCGACACGGTAGAAACGAAATCGATTCAGCGAGCGACATTGGACGGATAATCAAGACGTAATCGTGGTCCGAACCGGTCGGTCGTCGGTTCGGAGGAGACAGAAGAAGACCGGGGACAACCGTCGAACCGCTTGCAACGGGCGCCGAGGATCCGTCCCAGGACTTATACGGCGGAGCCGGATCGGTCGGATCGCAAGCAGCTTTTGCGCAACCGGTCGGACACCGTAACGAACGGTTTACGCGAAATTAACTAATTGGCCAATTACGCCTCTGCCCCCGACCGATATACACCGAGCAATCGATCCTCCTTCCGGCGAAATAGTCGATCGATCGCCCCGATCCAGC